TTTATTAACATTTATTGTGAGTTTGCTAATTATCTGGCAATATTCATCTGCTCCATTCTCTTATCTTACCCTGAAAGTAGAGAACAAGCATGAACAGTAACAGGAAGAATTTGTTTCAGTATTTTTTAAATTTTCTCTGCTTTTCAGCACATAGCAAATAATAAATGAAGCTTCTTGAATGTTTTAGCGTAGGCACAAGGAGAGGGTTTTTGTCCTTAATTTTCTCCTGCATTTCTCAGGTCCTTCATTTAAAGCCAGTAGCTTGAAAGCTGATAAAAAATTGGAATTTGTTCCTACGAATTTACATATACAGAGAATGAGAGTCCAGGATGATGGAGGATCAGGTATTTGTTTCTTTGTCTCCTTCTTCAACTTATCCTGTTACTTTTCTTGAAGTTTTTTTTATTTCTATCCTCAACCATACAGCCAAGTTTTTACAAAGTGCTGTACTAGCCTCAGAGTCCAAATCTCTTTTCAGAAGAAGAGGTGTAAGTATAAATATTGCAATTCTACAGGTGGCAAAACTAGATTCTGGAGTTAACTGTGCCCTAGGTGGCACAAGTTAGCCTTTGTACTAGGATTGGGTTAAGATGCTGTGTCCCTTCCATTTTTTATTGTAGCAGAATAGCAAAGGTTCTGACTGTTGTTTGTTGTGCTTTCTCTCTGTATTAACGATTACATATGGTTATGCAAAATCACAAAGTGTTCACATCAAACTTGTTTCTTCATTAGTAACCTAGGTTTTCCCTTCTTTTACCAGTAATTCCTACTAACTGTGGTCACACAGTTGTCCCGTGTGTCCATGTGAGGGATTACAGTAATGACAGGTTTTGTGTAGCGACCAATGTTCGAGACTTCTTTTTCACTGGGAGTCTTCTAGGTTAAGAAACAAGGAGACCTGTGTTCACGTATGGGTCTTTCACTTCAAAAGGTACTTGATGGATTTCCAGGGCCTCTAGAACAATTCAGTTTTCTATGTCCTTCGAAACACTGGCACAAAATTCAAGAAGTTATTTTCAGAATAGTTTTTGAACTTCCCCAATTGTTTAAACACATTAAAGATGGCAAACTTTCATTTGTAAGTTGTTTTTGTCCATCCCAGATCAGAACTACGACATAGTCACCATAGGAGCACCAGCAGCTCATTGTCAAGGCTTTAAATCAGGTGGCTTGCGGAAAAAGCTGCATAAATTTGAAGAGGCAAAGAAACAGTAAGTAGAAATATTGTTATTGTCAGGTGTTATTGTGCCTTTTCCTTCTGTTCCATTCTCCGTGATTTGGAAAATCACTCCATTCTGTGTTTTTCTTACATTTCATTTAGTAGTTCTACTATAAAATATGAAGATTTTTCAGTGTTTTTATTTTTCCAAAGAAGAGGGAAAACAGTTTCCCCTTTGTATTACTATATTTATTTGTTTACAAATGGACCCTTTCCAATAGTCTTTTTATGAAGTCTTTCATTTTCCTGAATAATTGTTGATTCCTTTAGTTTAGCTATTTTTAGGTGTTGGGTTTGGGGTCTGCCTAATTGTGGATTAGGACATTTATCTGTAGAACCTCCTCAGCTGCACTACATCGTGCTTTCAACCCATTGTTTTCAGTAGACTTCCACCTCTCTCATAATTTCAAGGTCATGTTCCTGAGCTCTCTTTAGTAGGAAACAGCTGTGTCTAATTGGTAAATTCCTTGTTGACAAAGTGGGTTTAGTTCTGGGACTATTGCTTGAGGCCTTTCTGCTTTGCCTAAAGTTTTATGCACAGATTAGGCTTCTGAATCTGGCCTCTGCTCTACAGGCAGGATACTTGACCTTCACAGTCAGGGACTATCTAGTGACCTCTCTGGAAGTACAGCCATATGTACTAGAGGAAGATGCAGGAATTGGGAAGGTCACATATGCTAAAGGGAGGAACACACACGACACCCACTCCATCTCTCAAAGAAGAGATATTGCTGTGTGGGTCTGCTTTATGAGAGCAGCAGGACAAGGAGTCACTGTAGCTTCGGAAGGGAGACCTTGATCATGCCTTTCCAAAGAAAGGATTAGTACGATTTGGAGCTGATAGCAGGAGGGAGGGACGTGGGAACCAGACTCTGCAAACTGCAGAAATAATTTTGGCAGTAGAGAAGCGAGTAACAGCATCCTGTGAACATCAGCCTGATATTTACTGATAAAAGGGTTGGTGCAAAAATAGGCCTAATGTAATTATTCTAGGTTTACAGAGTGCGTGCTAGGATAGGAATGGAGGAAACTGTAAACCTGGAAACACTGGTATGCTAGGCTCACCCTTTCTGTTCTTTTGATACCACTATTGCTTTCTGAAATAACCACCTCCTGCCACCCTAACCACTGAAGTGGTCCTTACTCTTGTAATATATAAGTTCCGACAGCTTTTTTGTTTCTTTTTTCCCTTTCACCCAATAATTAAGCTGATTGGAGAGCTTAATTTCTATCCAGTACTTTTCCTCTAAGCTTTTCAGAACTATTCCTTCTGGGTCCATGAAAACTGCAGGTTCAACGTTTAAAGAGTAACTTTCATTTTAAGTGCTTCCATGTTATCATAAAAGCCGGTGTAGTAGAACTGAGATCCATCTCCTCAGTTTCATTGTTACATTCAACTCCTTTCGTTGGCATAACTGTGCTTGGTGCATTCACAACATTTCCCCAAAACAACACATGGGCATCTGGCAATCTGTGTTTTTTCGCTTACGAGTTTAGTCTTTATGTACCCGCCTTGTTGAAAAAATGATTCAAATAAGTTATTTCCCCAAACATACTTCGTTTTGTTTCTCTGCTTTTGGTATTTGCTAACAATCTGCTAATTTTATTTTGGTTTTTGTTTTTTGTAGCAGTTATGAGGAGTGTTGGTGAGTTTTCTGTTTCTGAGGGTTCTATAGAGAGGGTTTCTGTTGTTTGGGTTGTTTTATTTTTCTTTTCTTTGCCACAAAGATCTGCTGTGTTTTAAAGTGTGCAGGGCTCTTTAATGTCATGCATCATGGCATCCCTAACCGTGCTCTAAGTAATTGTAGCTGCTTTGTAGAACATGATGTGTGAATGAATTTCATTTCATCTGCAATGTTTGTTTGTAATGAACAGCTAGCTTCCTAGCTCTCTCTGATCATAAGAAGTTAGAAAGCTGGAAATCAGAACATAAGGATTTTGTATTTTTTTTCTTTGTTACTTCCAGTGAAAACTGCCTGGAACGAGAAACTTTCTGCCAGAGGTAGAAGATAATTAAGATAACTCTCTATATTTTTAAATCTCAATAGTGATAGGTTGGACATGGTTTATATTTCTATAATCCATGTCTTCATTTAAATATTTTCACTTAACTTTTGTTTATTTTTCTCAGTGTTGGGGTATTCACTGCTATGAAAAGGAAACATTACTTGATGGTTCAACAATGCAGAAGTTCTGCTCTAAATTACTCATATTAAGGTTGAACCCCTCATTCACTGAGAATTTAAGTCAGTGTTACAGTTTGCTGGTATAGTACAATTAAAGCTGTTCATTTGAAAAAGCAATTGCAGGTTGGAAAGTAAGTATATGTGAACTTTACACCATAAATTTTTCTCACAATCATCCCAGCAAATGTCTGTGATTAAACATATAGTAACTTTAATCAAATCTTAATATGCTGCATGGCCTTTCCTGCCAAATATGTCTTTATGCATGTTAACCACACTGTCGTGGAAAGAAATTGCTCAGAGGAATTGTCACTAAAATCACTGGTCACTAGAGAACACAAATCATGTACAGAGAAAGTCCTAAAAACTGAGACTTAATTTGCTGTGTTGCACAGCAGTTCTGGGGAGTGGTTGTTCTCTGCTCCACTCAGGTGGGTGACCAGAGCACAAACAAGGAAACTCTTTCAAGAATCACTTCTGCATCACCTCCTTTGGAAAAAAATCCCTCGTCTTCCTTTTTGTAATGGAGCTCAGACAGATACTGTCATTAAAGTCCCTCCTTGCCTTAATATCAGTTAAGGGACAAGAACTGGATTTTTGGCATGATTTTAAAGCATGCCCCACGCAATCCTCCTGTCTTACGTCACAGATACGCTACAGAAATTAATGGCATTGCTCTAAGGGTAGCAGAGGAATTCACACTTCTTGGAGGCTGTGATCTGTGGTAACTGTGCCTGGAAAAGAAACATCTCTCCGTGTAGTCCCTCAGCATGGCCCTGTCCATTGAACAGTGCTGAGATTGGTGCAAACAGTAGGTTCTTCCGTGCTGTTACTATGCTGAAGCCATTCATGAGTGGGGAAAAAAATAAAATTAAGAGAATGTACAGCTGGTGTCACCTCAGGCTTGATGCCGTGTTGTGAATGGGCATCGCACTTATCACAGCTGGAGCTGATGTAAAGGCCTGGTCTTTGGATACCTTTCCTACTGAGAAGAAAAAAGCCAGCATGTTGCTTGACAAGGGAGTAGTGATCAGTTGGTTCTAAATAACTAAGAGCGCAGCTCCAGCCTGAAGTAATTTTCTAAGCTAAAAGGCAGTTTTTGTGAATGGCTTTTCTCAGGTAGGATTAAATCACCCTTTGGAAGTGCTATTCTCTCTCCAGTAGTTACAGAACATCTGTCTTGTACTGGATAAGCAACTTCTGTAGACGTCTGAACAACGTAAAAGGACGTAAACTATTCTCCACTGCCAAGTAAGCGGTCTTAGTGGAGCTGCAGTATCCCAATATAAAGACATGTTTTATTGGTGTAATTTATTTCCCTTACTGTTTGTAAAAGGCTAAAACGTGGTATTGCTTGATATTGTCACAGATGAGTTTACAATGGGGAGAGTTGTATCATGTCCCTAGTTTAGTATATTAAGTGTGTGCAAACAGAAACTACACCAAGGACAGCGTCCTTGGATTAGCCTGAAGATACACTTGGTTTTTTACATAGCATAAAATTGCTTTTACTGGTGTAATTTGATTTAGGCCTGCAATAGAGGAAAGTATATACTAGGATTTTTTTTTTAATACCACAGTGTTTGCATTATGGATCTCATGGCATTTCTCTGTTAAAAGGAATGCAGAGTTTCTTTTCATGGTGTTATTAGCTATGTGATAAAACAGGTTTGTAAACCAGGCCTTAGTGAAGTATCTGTGTAGTAAGGAGAGGGAGAAGGGGGCAAGCTATCTCTGCAAACAGTGGTTCTGTATCTGATGGCAAAATCTGTCACCCATATTCTCCTCAGCAAAACTGTCCCTCTGATATACAAACTCTGCCCACATCCCCTTGGCATAAATGATTAGTAAATTTGCATCTGAATGCTTTCAGTAAAGGCAGAGAAGGCTCTAGGATCATGTTCCTGCTGTGCAATTGCCCACTGGCCTTTCACTGTTAATCGCTAGGTAAAATTTTGTTGTCTACCATTAATTCCCCAGCATGCCACTGTAATGTGCATACCTCTAGATCAATTCTCCCCGTAAAACCAGTCTTTCTTTTTCAGCACTTCAACAAGTTCCCAGTCTATAATATACATCCCACAGGACATTGTTAGAGCAAAGGAAATCATTGCACAAATCAACACCCTGAAAACGCAAGTCAGTTACTATGCAGAAAGGCTCTCAAGAGCTGCCAAGGATAGATCAGCTAATGGCCTTGAAAGAACACTTGCTATCCTGGCAGACAAGGTAGGAGAGTAATTCGTTTCCCCACTGAAGCACAGTTTAATTTTTTTTTTCTGTCTTTAGTAGGATTTCTTAAAACATCTATTTTACCTTGTTCAGTAACATGTACAGTCCTAAAGAAAAAAATGAGATCAACCTTTCAAATTTCCTGCTTTTATTTAGGCTGTGTCCTTCTTTTCACACTTTTGCCTTCACCTCCCCTTGAGAGTGCAGTGGAGAGCAATGTCCTCCAATTCTCTCCATTCATCATATTCCAGTAATGTGCATTCTTCACTTTCTTTTATATCCTTTTCTCCATAACCACCTGGGATGTTTTAATGGTCTGAGTCATCTGTCAAGCAGCAGCAACTATGCAAAAGTTAGTGAAACAATTCTGTATTTTTCCACTGGTGAAATAAGAATAATGATGACACAGCCTTTGCTTGAATTATAGAGATGTAAACCAGTTGTTTCTTGATGTGTGCTAACAAAAAACAGACTGGACCCACAGCTGAACACAATCTTACAGGGAGAAAAAAATCCAGATACAGTTTTACTGACCCCTTCTGTCCTTGAGGCAGATCTGAAGGTTGTAAACAGCAGCAGTGGCCAGTCAGCTTACCATAAATTGTCCCAGTGGAGGTGATATACGTGCAACTTTGTAGAGTGCAAAAAATAATGTGACCTCATGTGAATGTGTTATTTATTCACTCTGAGTACAGTGGGTATAACTGATCTGTGGGATTTTCTACAGCTGGATAATGTGTATATATAATGTAGTAAAGTCTTGTGGTTTTTTTTTGTTTTTTGAATAGACACACAGGCCGCATAGTTTTCATATTCATATAATTTATAGAAATTCTTTAATGCAACACCACTAAAAAGATAGGGAACAGGTTGCATTAATTAGTGGTTTTACCTTTAGCCCTCTTCTTAAGTGTTGTTATGATTCCATATGCGATGATGGAAGTGGAGCTTTGTCTCTCTGGTGTGGCAACGTATGGGGTATAAAAATCATATAATTATAGAATATACTGAGTTGGAAGGGACCCATCAGGGTCACCAAGTCTAACGCCTGGCCCTGCGCAGGACACCCCAAGAGTCACACCATGTGCCCAAGAGTATTGTCCAAATTTGCCTTGAACTCTGTCAGGCTTGGTGCTGTGACCATTCCCTGGGGAACCTGTTCCTGTGCCCAAACACTGGACATGTGTTGTTCTAAGCTTTCATCAAATGGAGAGTGAAGTGTAAATAAAGGCAAACTGCGCATTCCTTAGTGAAATTTTCAACAATTGCAAGGCTAATGTAGTAGTACACACTTTGGAAATGCACCATTTGTGTTTTGGGATCCTATTCTGTGTTTCAAGGACATTCTGTAAAATTTTTCTAAAGGTGCCATAAAGCAATAATTTCTTTTACAGAATACTAGTCATTTTTTTCTTTCCGTGAAAAAATACAGTATAAATTATGTATGGAATAATAAAAAGTTTTTGAAATGTGGCTGTTTTATTGCTTTTTAGACCCGGCAACTTGTCACAGTGTGTGACTGCAAGCTGTTGGCAAATTCAATACACGGACTGAATGCTGCAAGGCCAGACTATATAGCTTCAAAAGCATCTCCAACCTCTGGAGAAGGGGAACAAGTCATGCTGAGGAATGATCAAGATACACTTGTGGCCAGATGGACAGGAAGAAATAGCCGATCTTCCCTGCAGGTGGATTGGCATGAAGAGGAATGGGTATGTTATTGTAGTGGAGTGATGAATACTTTCTTCTTCTTACTTGTGTTTGCTGTGTTCTTTTTTGACAAGCTCTGTAGCTGCTCACTAGATATACATAGGATCAGTATTTAGGAGATCGGTCAATTAGAAAAAGGTTACCTCTGTCCTATGCTCAGTTACTCCTTGGTGTGGGAATACAAACAGGCCTCAATAAATATTTCTGGGTCTCCTAAACCAGCAGAAATTGTTACAGTGGGGGCATAGCTTCTTTGAGATCAGTTCCAAGGGAAAGTAAATAGCTTTTAAAGTAAAAAACTGACCACATACTACAATGGGCTTTTGCACTTCTCCAAAATAAGGTATATTTTGTGTGTTAGCTATACAAGTCAGCCTTCCTATTTTTATTCTCATCTAACTATTTAGAACTTGCAGTCTCTCACTGTTCTGGTTGTGAACAACATTTTAAAACTATTTGCACCAAGTATTCAAATGGTTTCCTTACCACCCTGCCGATCAAAATGAGAGTTGGACTGTGTAAATTCTGTCACTGTGAAATATAAACAGAAATTAAGTCTCACAAATAGTTAGGATTAATTAAAACAATTATGAATATTCCTAAATACCAATTTTTTAAAAGATCCAAATAATTTTGGAAATAGTTCCTTGCTAGTTTCAATTATTTTGGCATACTTTGACTTACAGTCAAAGTCACAGTAATGAGATACAAATAAAGCTAATTCAGTTATTTAGACAACACTATAATACAGTAATTTTATCTGTTGTTCACTGAGTTATATAGAAAAAAAGATGTGTGATTGTATACAATTATTATGTCAAACACGAATTTCAAGAATAAACAATAGTGCCAGTTGGAAATTGGAATAACATTGCAGGAAGAGGCACTTAAAATTGTTTGGCAAATTAACTTAGAAAATAGCTTCTCAGTTTGGCACATTAGTCATGTTGCTACGTACTGTTGGCATGCTGGTATGCATTATGTCTCCATAATTTGTGTGTGCACACGGGTAACCATGATAGGCCAGAGGAAATTTTCAGAGGACTTGTGACTAGAATCATGGGAGGAAATATATTAGCAAGGTATTTGTTACCCAATGTCTCTTTTCTTTTTAAATTGAGAAGTAAATGTTTTCTTTTAAGGAGAAAGTTTGGTTGAACGTCGACAAAAGCCTGGAGTGTATTATACAGAGAGTGGACAAACTTCTCCAGAAGGAGCGCTTGCAGAGTGACAGCTGTGAAGATGTTTTCCAGTGTGACGTCAGCAGTACTAGTAAGAAAGGTAATCGGGACACTCGTGCCTACTGGATAAATCCAGAAGATTTAAATGAGACCTCATCATCCTCACCACCTTCATCATCCTCACCACCATCTTCATCCACATCATCCTGTGCATGCCATTCCCTCAGAAAGACAAGTGCGTAAGCCAGACTCTGCTTCTCACTGCTGCTCTCCTCCTGTGCGCTGGCATAATTCCTAAGCCTCCCTTACACCCCTCCACGTGTTTTCAGTTCAGTGGTGGTGTTAAGCAGTGATGTCAGGCAGAAAGGGCTCTCGGTGTGCTGGGCGTGCTAAGCCCATTACTTATTTTCACGTAAGTGGTCTCAGTGAAATCACTGCCAAATCCATTGATGACCGTGGCATTTGGTTTTCACTCTGGTTGTTCTAAGCTGGTAAAACAGCTGTTTGGGTTAGCATATGTCAAACACCACCTCTAGCAGCTTTCCTGTTGGCTTCAGCTTCTTTGCAGCAATCAAAGCTTATTACAGTGAACCTCTTTAAAAGATAAATAGAACATGAGAGAAGTGCAGGCGCTATTGCAGAAGTGATGGTCCCAGCTGGGCTGCCAAAGCAGGGGAGGAAACCAAGTAGTCCCATTAGACTGAGTTGAACTTGGATGATCTTACTGGATTTCAAAGCAAATTTTAACAAAAATTGTCAAGAGCTGCGTTGCTGAGACACTCAATTATTTAGACTTCTTGTAGCTGGAAGGTAGGAATTGGCAGTGCAAGCTCTCAGTGGAATAAACCAATCTAAATTTGAGCTAAAAGTGGGTGCTGGATTGAACCCAGCATAAGGTGGTGAACATGTGAATGAAAAATGTCTTTATCAATTTAGATTGACATTTTTGCAGCTGTGCATTAAATTATGTAATTATTTAATCTACTTATATATTTGTTTGGCTTATTCTCAAATTCTTTACATGTGATCACTATGATTTGGGCACTTAATAGAGCAGGTGGGCAAAGTAAAGCTTTAAAAAGATTGATTTGTGTTTTCATTTCCTTTTTCCTGTTCTGTCTCATCATTTGATGGCCCTTTGTCCCTTATGTGTTAATGTGACTTCATGTCCATCCCATTGTTAGTGTTGCAGTGCAAGGCAGTACCTTAAGAAAAAGAAAGCAAAAAGGAAGTTAAAATAAATGTTAATACATTTTTTATAGCTTTGCACACGATACATATAGTTTGTTTAGTCTCTTAGAAGACATTTTTTCTAGATTAGACTGACATACTTGTGTGTTATAAAGGAATAGGAGAGTTGATTCTTCTTTCAGATTAAGGAGTCAATCTTTGACTAAATTTTTTCTACCAGTTTGATACCTATAAATGTTTTTATTTGCTAGCTAGTTTACATAAAGTTTTATATGTATTTACGTGAAAGTTTAATCAGTAACCTTTAATGTTCATGTCAGTGAATAAAAGTTGTGCATTTTAAATTTAAGTATTAAAAAGAATATGAATAATCTGTGATGGGTGAAATCAGAAGCTTTTTCCAAGAGAATTTGATGGTGAAAACAGAACAATAACTTTCTTTCATTTCAGTGGATATTTTAATTCTACTCTGGGTCTTGACACTTAGGCTGTATGAAAGTGGAATTGGCTGCATGTACCTACCAAAGGTTTTGTTAGTGCAAAGAATTTCTTTAACCTTTCCCTTCTGTTCATCCAAAATAGGGAAAAACATCTTTCTATTTAATTGACAGAATCTGCGACAGAAACATTAAATCAAGAAGTGTAGCCAATTTTAAGGCTAAGGGACTTGCTGCCATTTCCCAGTGCTACCTAATTGTTAGGAATCTCTGAAGTCCAGCTATCAACCAATGTTGAGTGAATATAACTTAAAAAATCCCAAAAGAGGGAATCCTGTTTCTTGGGTATCTGGTGCAAACATTGTTCATAAGTCCTAACGAGCAGTCTGAGTACTTGATCACAATCTCATCAGATGTAGTTCCTAATTAATGCTCAGTATTTTTGATGGAGGAACAGGTTCAATACTATGAAAAAAAAAAATCACTGGGAATTTTTCCATTGAGTTACTCTCCTTGACTCCAAACCTAACCTGGTAAATGGTTTTAAGCTAAAGGAGGGTTGATTTAGACTAGTTGTAAGAAATAACTTTCTTTTACGATGAGGTTGTCAAAACACTGGCACAGGTTGCCCAGAGAGGTGGCAGATGCCCCATCCCTGCAAACATTCAAAGTCAGATTGGATGAGGCTGTGAGCAACCTATCTAGTGGAAGATGTCCCTGCTTATTGCAGGGGGGTTGGACAGTTTGATCCTCCCACTGAAGTGAGTGTGGAATACTCAGAGGCTTCACCAGTGAGGTTTCAGCTGTTAATATACAATCTATTGCTTGTGTTAACTATCTCAGAAATTGTATAACAGAATTTTGACTAAGGTAGCAAAGTACAGTTTCTTTATTACTCTTGCAATGTGGGTTCCGTAATGTCCTTTTCTGTTTAAGTGCATTGAACTTACTGCTAGTCTTTTGCTCTTCTGTTTAGCAGCCTTACTGCCAGCTTATTCTATAATTGCAGTAAACCAGTGGTTCTCAAATTGTGCCCTGTGGATCACTGGAGTTTAACAGGTAATCCACAGCGAGCTAGCAGGTACTGGCTTTCCTCCAAGTCCCCATCCAGGTGATCCTCTGATCAGAAACAATGGACCAGTGGAGGAGACAGCCCGTGCTCTTGGTGCCTGCAGGCAACCGAGTATTTCTGCTGAGCTCCTCTTCACTCAGTGAAAGTGTTTGAGAACCCTGGCATTGAGCATTTGAGTTGCTTATATTTAGACTGTGTTGCTGCTCCTTAATCATGCATGTTGCCCCTCCATTTCTGTGCAGATTGCAGCCCCACTCCGGAAGAATCTGGCGCAGGTATGTGCATTCATGGCTTCTGCTTCTTCTGAAAACTGCAGGGGTTTCTTCACAGTTAACTGAACAAGTGCCTTGCTGTTAAGATTGACCATTCTGAAATGGTAATGCTCTGTAACACCACGTGAGTTACCTCAGCTGTTGAGAAGTTATTATTTCCTAAGAGTACAGGGGGCATATGTTAACTTCTCATGTCCAGGTATGTGAGAGCACTTGTTCATGGCCTCTTTGGTTTTCCCAATTGATGTGTTTTGGCAAACGGATATAGGTGACAATGGTTTGAGTCCTGTTCCAAATGTCATTGAAATCTGTCGAAGTCTGGAATCTCAGACATTTCAGACATGCCCTTTCATATGTGCTGTTGAGCTGGCCTTTCTGAATGAGAATTTGAGCAGAACACGGAGCAGTGAAAAAGGCTGGTGGGAAATCTCTGATGTGGGTACACACCAAGCAGTGTTGGGCATTGCAAGTCTAATTTTTCAGAATACAAAATTCAGGTGTCTCGTCCCACTGTTAGCCTTCTTTCTTCTGTCCTTGTACCTTCATACACGTTTACAAGGTCTGAATAATATGCCTTTTCAATTCCACTCTCTCCCAGATAGATGTCTGTAGTTTCTTCTATTTCAGAGTAGTTTAATCTGAGTTCAGTTAATGTTCAGTCTTTGAACTGTTAGAGTGTGAGCTCCTGGGTTTAGTGTAACCAAAGGGAATAAAGCCTCAGTGCAGTTACGATTTTCATTTTCACAAATTATATTGAAATTCTTCTTAGCTACCCACCCTGTTTCATTCTATCACTGGGAAAGTATTTTTAATCAATAAAAGACTCCACGAGTTTTTAATTCTTGGAACATCCCTTTAGTTTTTTCAAAATACGAATGTGGTGCACAAATATAGTCAGGTCACCCCAACTTGATACCCACGTACACCCAAACAGGCATATTGAACTTAAGTGGCTGGAGCTGCAACGTGTAATGAAGCACTTAAGTGCCTATTTAAGTGGGTTGCTGATTATACTTTACTAAATTAGGGATAAGTAACTACCGTTTACTTTATAAGTCTCATTTTTAGAGATCATGAGTCACTGCAGCCTTGACCTAGATAAAGAGCCACTGTGGGTGCCCGGTACTTTGATTTATGGATGCTTATTTTAGTATGAAAAGACTAAAAATATCTTTTCATGTCTCTGGAGGACAGCTGTTTTAATAATATTTTATTTCTTTGTGGAAAAGAGACCCTTAGGGGGAAAAGGCGAAAACTTTTCTCTCTCTCTTCTCTTCCCTCCTTCCCTCACCCCCACTCCTTTGCCCCTTCCTTCAAAATGCCACATTTGAAAATATATTTTAAGGTATGACTTTGGTCAGCAGCAATCATAAGAAAAATAGCAAAAACTTACAGGACCAAGTCTGACCCTTATTTAACAGCCAGAATTCAGTTGCAGTTGACTGAGTGGAGACTGCAGGATTTGTCTGTTCTGCTCAACATAAAGTGTTTAAAGCCAATGACAGGCATTCTTATGTTTTGTGCAATGCCAGTTTTTAAACAGAGTAACATACAACATGACCTAGAAACCTCTGATTAAAAAACAGGATTTGTGTCCCAGACATACCAACAGCTAGCTTGGACTAGGTCTCTGGCTGTTGTATATCTCTAACACCTTGTTGCATCTCCATTGTTTCAGGCCCTATGTCAAATCATCTTATCTGTGGTCTGCTCAGTGGAGTCCATAATAGTTTTTGAAAGATCATCTCATAGAACAGAACAGCAGAACCCAGAGTAGAATTCATATTAGAATTAGAACCTTGTGCTGTTTGAAGGTGCCATTGATTGATTTGATAGAAAATACACTTCTAGTAATAAAGTTCTGTTAGGAAAATTAACGAGGGGAAGAGAGAAGGATAGGAGAATCCTGGTGAAAGCTGAACACTCAGCGTTCTTAATAATTCTTTCACAATTATTGAAATACTAAGAGTGAAACGTTCCAATCTGATTTGAGCCTGGGAGCGAAATTACTTTTATTCCTGTTTACTATTAATAGCAACTACGATTGACTAAAAAATTAAAAGAACACAGGTGAAGTAGGAGGCAAAAAGCTTTTAGATTTTTGCAGACTGACAAGGGTTTAGCTTTCTCATGGCTAAAATTTTAAACCAAGAGAATACACAGCCCAGAGGATTTTTGCTCACTACCCCAGATGAGCCCCTGCATTGAATATGAGTGCTGGGAGAAAAAAACCCATGTTAACAGTTGCTTTATCTTCACCATACTTTGTGTACTTTGTAATTACCACAGGTAAACATATCTTTCAAATGAAGTGCTGCCAGACACACTACAGTTTTAAATCTCCTCTGAGTTAGTAACTACAAACATATATGTACATCCAGACAATGAGATGATGATGATGCGCTGAAAGATGTTTTCAGTTCTTTTTGTCTTTCTCATTTGCTTATAGAAAAGCTCTTAAATGCAGTAAGAGAAACACTGTTAGTACCATCTCTATTTTGCTTTCCAAGTGATCACAGGGCCATGTTGTGACATCTGACTAATTTTGAGAGAAAATACTTAATAAAAGATAAGCTGTAATTCCTGGCCTGTTCTTTTGATGTTTCCTGCTTTTTTATGGCAATGGAACAGAGCCAAACAACTTCCCCTATGAGTAGTTTAGGAGGTTATCTATCTACAGCATAGAACAAAAGTTGAAAGGATAGTTTTGTTAATCTTGTAAGTTATGTTTCTGTTAGTAGACTTCATGAGTTCCCCTCTTTGGCTGGTTATCAAAGAAACGTTTATTATTACTAACTCTTAGTCCTTTCTTTGAGTCAAAATCTCAAACAATTTCCTTTCAGGGGCTTGAAGTGTCTCATTCATGCAGGCTCTGAAATGTATGTTGCCCTGTTCCTACAGCCAGCTGGGCTGGGAGTTGTGTGTGTTCTATTTGTGAGCTCCACTGCTTTTTAAAAATAAAACACGTTGTTTTTCCCTTTAAAAAGAGAAGTGTTCTGTTTCAACCTTGCATTAACGAGCGCAAAACCAAAGCCCTGTTGTATTTTCTTTCTGTGTTGCAGAGAGAATGGATTTTGGTATGGCATCTGAATAATTTTTTGTAAACGTGGGGAAATATTTTTTTTAAATTGGTGGTGAGTAAGGCAGAAGATGATAGAAGGAAAAGAAAGAAACTGAGCATGTGGCATATTTTAAGGCAGAGCAGTCTCTTAGGGAGAAGGAATGGCACAATATTTGGGGTACTAAAATAGGACTTGGGCAACCCAGTTTCATTTCTGTGCTTCCTGTGTAGGACCTTGAACAGAATCCCTCTGGGTCATATCATGTGTATTTCAGTGGAAGAAGAGCTCCAAAATACTTCTAAGGATCTGGATGACTCTCGTCTAAATCACTGTATTTAGTGTTTCTTGTTAGCTCCCTCTAAGCCTTGAAAACTACTCAGGAGACAGAAAACACTTAGAAGAGTACCTACATGAATTTCTCACCTCTCTGAATTATTATTCTTATGCTACAAATGGGAGATAAGCATTGTCTTGCCTCACTGACGTGCAATAAGGATCAGTAAAGTGGTGAGGCAGTTGAATGATATACCTGTGAGTCCACAAAGGATTCAAAGGCAAGATATTAGGGAAAAACCTCATTTTCAGAAATGGCTAAGCAGGTGTTCACTGTTTCTGTAATCCAGTGGACTCCATACTGTCTGTCCACGTATGCACTGTGAAAGGGTGTGTTTGAACATGAGCATGCAGTTATATACACTTCTGTATATAGTTATTCATATTTCGGTTATGATTTCCAAATCAGCCATTGATCAAATCAGCCTGTTCTGTGGGCACAGATCTGGGAACTTTTACATGGTCTGGAAAGTCATAACAGCCTTACAGAGTAAAATTCTCCATATATTCCTCATGCAATAACCACTCTGTAAGATTACTGAATTATTACCAAGCATGGAATAACCATCCAGCCAAAATAAAACGAGCTCTAAATATGAATTATCAACAGCTTTGACTTGCAACAGGGAGTTTCTTCTTAAAGTGTGTGTTTGTTTCAAATAAAGTACTTCCAGTGCTGCTAATTTTTTTTTTCTTTTAAGCAGGTGAATGGAGTGAAGCTCTTTATCCTTTGCTGACCACACTCACCGACTGTGTAGCCATGATGAGTGACAAGGCAAAGAAAGCCATGGTCTTTTTGTTAATGCAGGACAGTGCCCCAACAATAGGGCTCTGCCTCAGCCTTCAGTATCGCAGGGATGTTGTCTTCTGCCAAACTGTAAGCAAGCAAATATGCGTGTTTTGATTGCGCTTCCACATGCAGTAGGATTTATGTGAAATATGAAAGATTACTGTTTTCAGAACTTTTCAAGTCTCTTCTTGGGTTTGACGGTATGACCTCCCCTCACAGGTTGTGCTAGCCTGTCCTTACTGGTCACTTATGTTCATTTGACAGTATAATAACTTACATGTCCCCTTGGTTATGCATTCGTCGTTTTTGAAAAAATTATTCCAGGACTAGTGAAAATATACTTCTGTCTTCAGAAATAACCTTTGCACTTCAATGTCACCAAACTAAAAGCAGAAGTTAGATGTGAAAGAGGGGAGCAAAAAAGCCCATGAGCAGCAAGTGTAGTCCCTAAGCTACCTTTTGGGGTTTTTTGCATTGAGAAACCCAACAGGACTTATTGCACCTAAGGAGAGAAGTCCAGCTACAGGGAGAGAAACGAGTCCTGATTTTTCCGAGAAGTTCTGTTTCTGGGGCTGCTGGGATCTCTTGTGTCAGGCACTGACTGGCAGGTGCCTGCACTAAAAAAACTTCCACATTTCTTTTACCCACAATGCTTCTGTAGTGCATCTACTTCCCTGTGAAATCAGTATCTCATTCATTCATTCATTTCAAACAGTTTATCTCTTGGACATCATTTGGCAGGCTTTTGTCCCAAAATGTAATATCAAAATTGTTAAACAAGTACAGGACAAGAGGAAATGGCCTCAAGTTGTATCACGAGTTGTTTAGATTAGATGCTAGGAAAAATTTCTTCATGCAAGGAGTTGTCAAGCACTGGAACAGTCTGCCCAGGAAAGTAGTGGAATCACTATCCCTGGAAATGTTCAAAAAACTTGTGGATATGGTACTTGAGGACATGGTTTAGTTGTGTACAGGGTGATGGTGCTAGGTTGAAGGTTGGACTTGGTGACCTTAGAGGTCTTTTCCAACCTTAACGGTTCTTTGATTCTGTGATCTCAGGGACAAAATCAGGGAATTTTTCTGTATAAAACCCACTTGATACTGCAGGTGGTTTTAAACTCAATGCTTCGAATGTGTTTACCCATCATAATCAGAACTTTATTCCCTTCTGTTAAATTCTGTTAAGAAAGTCATACACCTCTGTACACAGCATATAGCAATGACCTGTTAAATTCCTCCATTGACTTAAGAGTAGAACTAATCTTGGATCATGGTACTGGCCTTAGTACTAGGTCTTCAGGACCTAATTCTGAATATCTTATAACACTAGAGTTTAAATATGCATAATGCAAACAGATACTGCATTTTTAAGCTTTCTCAAATGCCATTCTTAAAAAACCAATAATTTATTTATACTATCTAAATTCATGGCCTGGAACTAGATGTGCTGATTTTCCATCTGAAATAAAACGATTCTCTCTTTTGTAATTCATAACACACAAGCGTTCGTGTCCTGAAAACAAATAAATGCAAGACATACAGCAGTACCATTTTAAGAAAGATTGTGAGATGAAAGCAGAGTGCCCTGAATCTGATTTTATGAATTTTTGTGGGGTTTGTTGGTTGGTTGTCTCTCTTCATCAAGGAAAAGAAGAGTGATGTTTAAGGGAAAAGAGCATCTGTCAGACAGATTTTATGGCACCTCTTATAAGTGATGCTGGTTTTGTATGGGGCTGAAGTGCCTTTTTTGTCTCGAATCGCTTCATTCTTGTCTGTTTTCTCTCTCACAGCTGACAGCTCTCATTTGCGGTTTCATTATCAAGCTGAGGAACTGCCTGCATGATGATGGATTTCTAAGACAACTCTACACCATTGGCTTGCTGGCACAGTTTGAGAGCCTGCTGAGCACTTATGGTAAAGGCACAGGGCCAGGGGATGTGATTATCTGTTGAGTCAGCAAATTCTGCATTGAATTGCCTACAGCAAAATAGGAGTGTTTGGGACAATCCGCAGCTCAGCTACAAAATTATTTTGAAAACCGAAATGCAAAGCTAGGTTATATCTGGGAGTAATTAGTTAGCTAACAATCTGAATTTCTTTGCACTTACTTGAATTACTTCTAAAAGATAAAGTATATTTGTCTTATAATGTCAAAGGTTTAAGAAAGACTAAAACATGTCACAGGGGTATTTTTTTTCAGAAAATAAATGGATTGAAGTGCTTGTAAATTGGGAGAAACTGTGCCCGAAATATGCTTTTTGAATTTTCTTGACCTTCTGTAGTCTTATGGTACAAAGTGAGGTTGAAGAGAGAATATAAAAAGGAAAAATACTTCACAGTGTTTCACTCCTGTTTAGACAGCCATCTGGATGCCAGTTAGGGAACGTTTTACCAGAAAAATCTAGAATACCTTATAGTTTTTCCAACACAAAGGTTATCGTGGCTCTGACAGTGCTGAGAAGTGCTTAATAATATCATCTAAATTGGAAAATCAGCATATAAGCTGCTTGAAGAACAGTCGTCTGGACTGTTGTTGATAACTGGTGTTTTCTAAACCGGCTGAGCCCACAAAGTCAGTCACGGCATTGTCTGTAGGCCAAGGGGGAGGCCTGGGCTGCATGACCTTCCTCATTTGTGGAACTTAGTGGAGTGGTGACCTACTGTCATCATCAGATGGATAAAGGGAAGTTGTACATAACAAATAATGATTATGTTTCACTTTTTACTCTTTAATTTAGGTGAGGAGCTGGCAATGCTGGAGGACATGAGTTTGGGAATCATGGACTTGAGGAATGTAACCTTTAAAGTAACTCAGGCTACGTCAAATACATCTACTGACATGCTGCCAGTCATCACTGGAAATCGGTAACAAAAAAAAGTCAAATATACTTTACTCTGGATGAGATAGGGAAATGCCAAAATTTAGGTTTTTCTACCCAAATTGCATGAGAGCTGCTGTATTAATGAGAGAAGCAAAAGCAGCTTTTGTTAGGAAGTTAGCAAAACTAAATGTCCATGAGGATGTAAAATCAACATTACACGTTGCTGCAGATTTGTTTTTGAACTAGAATAGATTGGGAGCAAGCTGCAGCAATTCCTTAAAGTCAGTTTTGATTGATACTTGGTTTTTATTGTATTATACTCTTTTTATTTATTTATATATGAACATAATAGTTGTATTATGTTCTAGATGTTAACCCTCTTCACATAAATAACATGTTCTTGGAATGTAGGTTTTTGATCTTTGTGACTGATAGCTGTTTACTTCTTTGCAGTGATGGATTTAATGTGAGGATCCCTCTGCCAAGCGCCTTGTTTGATTTGTTGCCGCGAGAGATTCAAAGTGGCATGTTACTGAGGGTTCAGCCTGTTCTTTTCAATGTGGGAATCAATGAGCAGCAAACCTTAGCAGAGAAGTATGTATTTAGTCGTGCAAGCTCGACCTTAATGGCAGTTCAGCAGTGGAATTGTGTCGCCCTGTAATTGCACTGTTGCATTACTAACAGGGATTCAGTTTCTCCAACTCAGGAAAAAGGGAATAACAAAATGAAGCTGTCAGATGCCAAATAAATGAAAGGAGGTCCTTCTTTATGTGCCACATGGCTGTGAAGCTTATTACCTCATGGGTTTGAGACTAGTGCACGTTTATGTGATTCAGAAGTGAGTTTACAGATGAGGAAATCTGTCATGGGCCATTTAACACAGATATGCTGTTTGTGACTTCAGAGCTCTGTGAGTGAGATGTCATTCTGAGTATTGCTGGGTATTTGCTTTCTTGATTTTTCACTGTCCTCTAGACTCCCTCTCCTGGTCACTGTCAAAAACCTGGATAACGGTCAAGATGGCCCCTGGTTTTAGCATATCCTTGTAGTATTTATATAATGCAAAATTGCTCTTGTAAAGCTGAAAAATATGTAAATATATTTGCTATGGAAACTGCTCAGTTTTGGAAGAGCCACCAGAGCTTCCTGCTGTTATGACCATATCCTTTAAAGAGTACACTGACAGAGCACTGCTCTAGTGGAGAACTCCAGTGAAGTCAGGCATATACACGTTGTGAGAGCAGCCTTGGTACTGGGGTGGAATGTGCACTCTGATGGTGGACAACTAGAAAAAGTCCAACAAAAGCATTCCAGCAATTACTGTTGTCCTCTCTTGCCTATAAAGGGAGCCCAAGGTGACTAGCACAGTTACAGATGTCAGCACTGTGTGCATATCTGTGGGTATATATATATAGTTAGATGAGATGAATGAGGGCATTGTTGACAATATTTATTACAGTTTTCTTTCACCATCCTTCCCTTTTTTCCCCTCACAGTCATGTCTTTTATTCTTCTATAATACATTATTACAGTACTTCTCTGTTACACTCAGCTCTGCATTTGAATGGTTAGGAATTCATGGGATGAATCTTTAAACTTTTTCTGGGAGTCACATCGTCAAGTGCAGTTGTTTTGAAGAAGAGGAGAAACCTTCTACTTCAGGCTTAATTGTTTCTTTCTTCACCTTTTTAAGATTTGGAGACACCTCACTGCAAGAAATAATTAACATGGAAAGCTTAGTGCGTTTGAATTCATATTTTGAGCAGTTCAAGGAAGTTTTGCCTGATGATTGTAAGTATTTGGTGATTAATGACAGGTTTGGTTGAACAGCACAATTCAGGCTGATTTTGCTTTATGTTATTTGTTTAAATGTTTATGATAACACCAGCATTAGTAACCTCCAAGAAATTATGCAACTCTATTTTAATACTTTAGTACTAGGTAGAGCAGATTCAGTAGATTCAAAGGTCAGACTGATTAACTTCCCTTTTTAAATTTACTTTTACATCTCTAAGTGGCATTATGTACTGTATAACCATGCAGCCAGACAGTTAGATTGCTGTGAGGGAAAGGCATAAAAGTGAGAAGTTACAACAGCAGCACTCTTATGTGCCATTTTTGGTGATGTTCTCTGCACTTACGATAACCTGCGCAAGGAGCATCTACCAGTTTCAAGGAACTCAGTCCACTTGCCCTCTCCTTATCCTTTAGCACTTTTCTATAATTGCTGCATCTTCAGCCAACAACAGAGAACCTGGAAGAGAAGCAACAGCTACAAGTTTGCATTTAACTGGTTATGGATTAAAATGTCTTGCCTGTTACTGTGGGGTTTTTGGGGGGAAGGCAGTGGCATAAATGTTACTTACGTGTGACCACAAAAATTGTGAAAATTCATCAATTCGTTATTATTACAATCAAACCTCTTCTAAGCTAATTTCATGGGTTCTACAACTGCAATTTTATTGCAGAAACACAAATGCAGAATCATGCAGCAGGATAGTAAGAAATCTGTCTATTAAGTGTGTCATTGTACTTTCATTTACCCTTGATTTTTTTGATACAGCTGAGGGCAGAAGCTGTTTCCCTCCTTTCAGGCATTCATAATCCTGCATAATTAATACTCAGAAATTTTAGCTGCAAAGTTTATTTTTTTGTTATTATATAGTAGTCTAGCATCGAATTTTCTTATAAGGTTCAAAAATTAATCAATTTGAAGTGATTTCTGTACATGGCTCTGTCTAGTCTTCCATAGTAATATTTCCCATTCTGTTCCTTTCCTCCTGAATTTTGCTTTCCCTTTTTTTTTTTGACTTCTCTCTCTTCCCTCATCCCCAAACCTCTTATGTTTGATCCAATCATCTTTTAGCTTTTACCTTTTTTTTTTTCATCCCTGAAACTTGAGATGATATTTACAATGTGCAAAGTGAAACATACTTTTCCATGAACCCTTGTCAAGGGAGAATAACATTTTACATTTTGCATTTAACTGTAAACCAGGTGATTATGACCAGTGACTCCTGTCACCTCTGTGACACACAAACCAATCTGTACCATACCAATCTTGTTCCCTTTGTTCATTCTGTTATTATACTGCTATTAGATTCTAAGTCCCTGAAGTTTAAAATAACCTGAATTTATATTTCCAGTTGAGTTGAATTAAACTTGAATGTGTTTTTTTGATCGTACTAAACAATTAAGAACTCAGTTAACTGTTGTAAGCTTTGGTAGTTTCAAGAAAACACAATTACGTTTGCAGTAGGCAAATAGGAACACTTACCTTTGTAAATGATCTGTTGAACACAGATAAATAAGTGGAGTTGATTTTGTTTGGTTTATAGGTCTACCTCGATCTCGTAGTCAGACGTGCCTGCCTGAACTGTTAAGATTTCTGGGACAAAATGTACATGCAAGGAAAAACAAGAATGTTGATATCCTTTGGCAAGCTGCTGAGGTATTTATTCATCTGAGCATCTCTGCATAGTTCAGCTGATTTTCTGTATGCATACATATTTTCTCCTTTTTATTATTCGTATGTTTGTATTTCTTCATTTGCTTGTGTGTGGCTTGGAAATGCTGCCAAGTTAAACCTCCTCTAGAATGAAACACGGGGAGATAAAATGTATTTTCCACATCAGAATTTTCCCTATAACTCACGCAATGAAGTTTTGCTCTCTCAAAGATGGCAAATTTTAACATCAAAGTCCTACACAGCATTTGTGTCTCTCTGAGGAGTACAGGCATGTTCTCTGACAGAAAGTTATGTAAAATGATGGATTGTATGTCCTCTTTCTAGATATGCCGCAGACTAAATGGTGTTCGATTTACAAGCTGTAAAAGCGCCAAGGATAGGACTGCCATGTCCGTCACCCTGGAGCAGTGTTTGATCCTACAGCATGAACATGGAATGGCTCCACAGGTCTTCACCCAGGCTCTGGAGTGTATGAGGAGGTAAGAGTTTGACTGCATCACTTACTTATTCCTGAATGAGGAGGAACCATGCAAACTGCAGAGGGGTGGTGGTCTCTGTTTCTGTCAAAAGAAAAAAAAAAGATAAAGTCAGAAAACTGCAGAACTGACTGCTAAAATTCATCCCTCCCTTGCATATGAGTTGCATATGCTAAAGCTGGTGCTTACCAGTTTTGTATCAGATGGGCTTGAGTTTTCAGTAGTAAATGAGTTTTCAGAGAAGCATGTAAAAACGTGCTTTCAGTTAATGCTGAGCTTACAGAACAGGAAACTGGTGCTTCTTTGAAAGTTGTTAACAATGAGATTACCTGAACTGTCACAGCACTGGGTTTCTTAGTTCTAGATCAGGCAGATTACTCAGGGATGGCCTGTCCTTTGTTCTTTGAAACACAGACACCTGCAGTTTGCACTGGTTTGCCACATGTATTCTTTAGCAGTGAAACACTGCTCACTGGGTGAAATGTATGAGTGTTTCACACTACAACAACCAAATTTCATCACAATGTGTCAGTGTGCTGTTGTCGTATCAATATAATGATGTTCTGTATTCTGAAGCAGCAGAGATGTTTGCAGAATTAAGCACTGTGCTTAAAGAAAAAAATAAAATCTGTTTACTGTTGTTCAATGCCTTGTTTCAAGCACTGCTGGAAAACTCCGTAAGTCACATACCCAAAGAAAGGATAAGAAATCTAGCTTTAGTCTTTATCAATGTAGTTCAACAATGCTGTTCAGTCCTGTTTTTCAACATTCACTCTTACTGAATGTACTGTACTGTGTGTCTTTTCACCAAATTCTCTAGAGTGTTCAATTCTCTTATCCTTTCTGTATGTTTTTGCTGTTTGACCCTTTCCTACTCTTCAGTTATCTAGAAGAAAAATGTCTCATACAGTATAACACTTCTGACCTCTTAAACTAATAATTTGGGGGTTATATCCACATCTAATTGGACGTCACTGGACTTCTTTATTTTCACTTTTTTTGCTGCACTTTTTTGCCGCATTGTTACAGAGTTACTAAAGTACAATGAAAACAGCACTCAGAGAGTACCTAAACCTTGATGTTAGAAACAAAATTTGAAACAATTTCATGAGGGAGAAATTATTAACTTAAAAAGGAACTAAGTAGCTCTCAAACATCTTTAAATTATGCAACTTGTTGACTTAGACATCTGAAAGAAAAAAAGGTTTGTTTCACAGTTTTGTATTTAGTAAGAATAAAAACAACTAGAAAAAAATACTGGGCATCTTGTTACTTTCTTCAAATTCATTACTGGGTCAGTGAAGTTTTTTTAATGCAGTCGTGGGCACAGTAGAGAGAGAGAGGCTAATAATAACATTGGTTTGGTCCTTCAGACTACCCATTTAATATAACACACGATCAGATAAAATATCGACCCAAGAAAAATATTGCTTTGTGTTGACCTACACAGGGATATTGAAAGAGGGCAAATTTAATCAAAACTTTTGGGTTGAATGTTCTATCAGCATCAGGGACTTGCTCTGGCCGGTAAAAGACATGACTTTCTCTTCTGTTACATCTTTGACTGGGAGAGCTTGTGCAGAACAAATACTGACTAGTCCTGAGGGAAAATCAAGATTAGACCTTTCTTCAAGCTCATCACTCTTTCCTCCTCACATCACATTGCTCTTTGGGGTACATGTCTGTGTTTTTTAAATTATTTGTCAATTCTGCTCAGGAACAATGGCACAGAATTAAAAAAGTTTAATGAGACAGATTGGACTGCAGAACAAATATGGAGGAGTCCAACTCTACCAAATCCGATTTCAGCCTGGACAGGTTGACCTGGCCTAGATGACATATATAGGACTTGAAAGGGCAAGTTACTTCTAGGGCATTCAGAAAACTTGGGTATTTTTCTTTTAGCTTGGCTCTTTTATTTGTGCAACTGTACTGGAAAAGGAAGGTTTGGTTCATTCCTGGAGACTTTTGAAGTTTCTGGGGTAGTTGGAAAGACAGGGTAGAAGTACTAATAAGGTGTGAGACTCAAAGGAAGTATTTAATCTCTAGTGGTAACTTCCCAGAGAAGAAAAGCATCCTTGCTCCATTCTTGAAAAAATTAAGAAAGCATCTCTTCTTCCATGTGATGTTGGTCTTCAGAGGTGTTAGTTCCTGCTTGTCTCCAAGGACTTCCCTTCCTTCCTGGTCTCATGATAATTACATTCAGTGAGCATGGACATCAGGGAGAGAACGTAGAGTGCTCATTGTAGATTCTCATAGAAATTCACAGATACAAGGTTGTGGTTTTCACCTTAGAAACAAATATCCTATTAGAATAAACTCACTTTGCTGTAAAGAAGTTACAGCTTTTCCAGTCCTAAATGAAATATATGGTAACTCACGCCCTACAAGTAGTAAAATCTTGATGATTATGTCTGGAAGTCCAGGCTACAGAGGAAGTGGATACCTGGCCAGTAAAAGCAGATCAAGAGTCAAAGTCCAGATGGATCATGTAGCCTCTTCCATCTGCAGCCAACACTCCCCACTAGACCTGTGACTCCCTGCCCTCCCTTCCCCTACCAGATTTATGTCCTGTCAGAAATGCCAGTGAAGCTATTTGTGTGAATATTCTCTAAGGCAATTTCAGTCAAAATCATCCTGTGTAGCAAAATCCTTTACATGTTTCAGGTAGCCTAGCTCATTGTTGTTAAAACAATTAGGAATCTGCAACACAAGCAGTTTAGCCAACAGAGGAGAGCTGTCTTTGATAGGGAATCTTGAAAAGCAGCTGGAAATTGGGTGAGGGAAATAGTCTCTTCTAGCTGCCATGGTGCTCTCTAAAAGGAATTACATAATAAAGTCCTGAGAGTCATGTTTGGATATGATCACTCACTGCAATAAAACAGCCATGATAAAAAACTTGTTTGGATTTCTTTGCTGATTGATCTACTTCAGGAATAAAATTGTGTTGAGTTGACCTTGACCACCTGCCAGATGTGCACCCAGCTGCTCACTCACTGCCTCCCCTCAACAGGACAGGGAGAGAAAATATGTGAAAAAGCTCATAAAGACAGGGAGATCCCTTACCAATTACTGGTACAGGCAAAACAGACTTGTCTTAGAGAAAATTAGTCTATTGCCAATGGATTTGGGATGTTAAGACAAAGACAAAAATTTAAAAAATTAAAAAACCTTCCCTTCCACAACCTCTTTTTTCCTAGGCCTCCATTCTGGTCCTCCATTCTCAATTCCTCTGCCTCCTCCCTATGCTGAGCAGCATACAGAGGATGTGGAATGGGGGGTTGCAGTCAGTCAGTCGATAACAGCTCTTCTCTGCTGCTGCTTCCTCCTTGCACTCTTCCTCCACTCCAGTGGGGTCCTTTCCATGGGCTGCAGTGTGGATGGTCATCTCCATGGCTGCAGGGGAAACTCTGCTTCAGTTTGGTTCCCCCAAGGGATGTTTCTCACATCTTTTCCAATGTCCTTCACTGCCATGCAGTGTTCTGCCTTTTCTTCCCCAGGCTTTCCCTGAGGCACCAGCATGGCTGAGGGGCTCAGCCGTGCCTGCAGTGGGTGCACTGAAGCTGGATGGAACCAGCAGTGCCCAGCATGGGGCAGCCCTGGGAGGATTTCCACATGCTAGCTAAATTAGCAGGGAATTTGGCTTTGTCTCTTTACCCTAGTTCTCTCCTAGAGGTGGTCTGCTGATGAATGTTTTATTTAAGACACTGTACAATTTGGTGTATTTGACATTTCCAAAAGGTGACTGTTCACCCCTCGGGTAGAAGCATCTACATGGGCCAGCAGTGACAAGGAAAGCACTTTCCAGCTCTTGCCTCCATTCCCACCATATGTGTCTGTGCATATGTCTTTGTGTAAAATTGAGTAGCTTGATACTAATTTTTAATGGTGGAGATGTAGCATATGATTTTGATAGTGCCATCTTGTCATTTGGATCCTTCCTTCTTTCCCTCTCCCACTGCTTTACTTTTTATCTATACTCGAAAACACTTCTTCCTCCAGGCTATTTTACTGAGCCTTTATCCACCCCTTTTCAGTCAGTGTTAGCTTTCCACTGACTGATTCTTCTGATCACACACACACATCCTCCTCCCCACCAGTACAAAAATAATTGGGATTTGTAGGCATCACCGATGCAATCTGCCCTTGTCCAGTGTAGGCACCAGGAAAACTTATTTTGATCACTGATTTGGATCTGTTAATAGAAATTCAGTTGGTTTAGTTCCCTGCCCACCTAATTCCAGTTGACTTGAAGTGTCACCAGCTTCTGAATGCTATTTTTGTCTTTCTCCACCTCCAGGGTCTCTCTGTTTTCTTTTAAGACATTGTCCATTGGTTACCTAACCTTGCTATGCAACCAGGAAGGTTATGGATCGATTTTTATGGACGGAGCGAGTGCACTAGTTCTAACAGGATCAGGCTCACAGGTTGCACTTAGTTATTGCTTTGGAAACTAAAAATAGAGTTGGACTTCACAGGGTATAAGAGTGATCCAAAATGAAAGGCCACAGTACAAAGCCTCAGGTTCCCTGAAGAGGTGTTCACCACTGTATCTTCCAGTGCTCCATGTAGGAAGTGGGGGCACAATGAGATGGGCTTTGCAGCATATCTTGCCTTCGTGTGCATATATTGAGGCACTTCAGAAACATGGATTTTGAGAAGCATGTTGATACACTCTTGAATTCATGTCAAAGCAGAAAAACAAATGGGTGATTTGGGTTTTTTTGTTCCCATGTTGAACAGGTAGTTTAGAGGATAAACTAATGCACTGCCGCCCACATGGAAAGATGTTTGAAAGGGTCAAATACTACAATGGTTATTCATGTTCAGCTTGCTTTTCAGAGCTCCACTTTTTTGCAGCATGCCAAAGCATGGCAGAGCAGCATGGGGTATTATTGCTTGGTAATCTGAAAGAGTGAACATGGAAAACCATTTATGTTCAACCTACATGTGTTTATTTTCACTAGACTACAGTACTTCTTTCTTATTTTTCTCTTTTATTCTCTTTCCCTCTCCTTATTTCTACAATTGTACTGATACATATTTTTGAGACCTTTTTCCACTCTTTCTTTACTTCCATCTTCTGGTTTTGTTGTGCGTTCTTCCATGTTTTTTCATTTTCTTGACCACCTTGTGTTGCCATCTCTTTTTATGCATTCATTTGCATGTCCGTCTTCCTTTCTGTTTTATTTTCCCTCTTCCCAACCTTCTTCCTTTTCACAGCATTGGAACACGGGAGATAGTCACGCAGAAGAACTTGAGTGGCTTGGTGCCCATCCGAGATTTCAGACTAGATCCCAGCCTCCTCTACTCTATTCCTTTACTAGCTCTCAGCCCCAATTTACTGATTGTGTGGCTGTTTCTGAGCATAGCGTACCTGGTGGCCAGATTACGTTGCAAGTGAAGATTAAGTTAAAAACAAAAACAAAAAAAGTGCTTGAATGTGCGTTGCCACTTGGTACCTGCTGGACAAAGGAATGTGTCATAGCATTGTCTGCCAAGAATTATTATTATGCCTTACAATTTTACGTTTCTATTGTACTAAACTGTAAATATACATCAAATTATTTTATCAAAAAGAATTGTATTGAAACTTTAAATTATTGTTCTGCTTTCAGTGCTTGTAACATAGTCTGACATTGGCCTGTTACCTCGTTACTTTAGCCGGCCTGAAGATCTCTTACCAAATATAGTTTTATGTTACTTGTTTCATGTATTCCAGAGAAAGGAACTCTATCTGAAAAGAATTTGTATCTTTTTTGTAATATTTAAGGGGTATGCTAATCTTGCCTTTCATTTTTACAAGGTATGAAGAGAAAACTAAAAACGCGGGTGGGGTTTATAAGAAATTGTTAGAAATTTATTTAAACAAATTTCTACCTTCATTTCAAAGCATAATATCCAAATTACTGAACAGTTTGTAGAACCATAGTCTTGTTCCTTTCTCATGGTTAAGTATGTTCTAATAGACTAGTGTACCCACTCAAAAACCAACTTGCAGTGTGCTGCATGCAGAATTATTTCATTCTATTTGTAGATCTGCATTTTGCAATGTATTAAAGACATAAAGAGAATAACTTGTGGTTAGGAAGGGGATGTAATTGGCATTAGCCTGCTAATGATCCATTATCTGTTTCAGGTGCTCTGTTATAGAACTTATTCTGAAATAGAGTAATTGTCATCCAAGAAGATAAAGATAGTGGACTTTAATAT